ATTCATTGTTTACCTGGGTCTTCAGTCTATGATTAGCTCACCTCACCTCTTATCAGACAAGTCTTCGGGTTTGAGTCGTTCGTTCATCACATGACAGACCCATAAACTTGCTGCACCCGATTCCTGCCCACAAAACAGAAAATGATAGCATCGAAAGGGCCTCTGCCGACCCCGCACATGCTCTATAGCTGTGGTTAAAATTATTAAAATTATACAAATATATATTAATACAATTAATATACAATCAATACAATTAATATATAAATGAAAATAATTTTAAGATATATAAAAATCTTTAATAGATGAATTAAAATAAATTTAAATTTCTAAAAATACATAAAATGAAGAAAGTAAAATTATTTTTTCCCCCTTCATTAACTATTGTTTTTGTTTATTAAAAAAAAATTCAAACAAAGGGTGGAGCCTTTTGAACATTGTGTTGAACAATGGTAAGCTTTTGCATCAATAAGGTTGGGAACCACTGCTGTACAGGCAATGGCCTTATCTCTACATGTTATGCGGAGGATCTGCAGGTCCTAGTATAATATTAACAAACATCCTCTTGCTTTAAAGGAGGTTGGGTTCAAAGACCAAGTCTGCAATACGACTTATAAAAGGTTTAATTCATAGTCCAGATGAATGTAAAGGTTAAACAGAAACAAAAATTGATCTGCCTTCTAATTAAAATCGACCTCATCCACCTCCCACTTCCTGGAGCACACTGTTAGCTTTCTTGTCATTTATGAGGCTGAGAACTGAGCAAGACTATTGGCTGTTTGGGATTTACAATAATTGCTGGGCTGTTTTCAGACTTGATGTTATGAGTTTAAAACAAAGTTTTCTTGTAATTGGAAATTGAGAGATGGTCATTTGTTTAAGAGAAATACATGAGAATAGACACCGCTGATGAGAAACCACAGAACTCAAATGGTTTTGTGATGTGTACAGCAGTCAACAAAGGTTGTGACCTTTAATGAATGTAATTATGAGCTCACAGCTCACTGCAGTGAGTGACAGTCCTCTTGTGTGCTCAGTTTTCTATTTTAAAAGGAAACGGTGCCTGTGAGACAACAGCACAGATAGGGCCTATGTGCTACCAGCATTGTTTTCACACCAGGGTCTAATAAAGCCTTGCATGCTGCTTTAAAGCACAGTATCACACATTCTTAGCTTCTTTTTACCACTCAAAGTTATGCATAACATCATAATATCTCCCTTGCCAGAGGCTTATTCTGATTGCATGAACAGTATGATAGTTGTGGGTATAATGGCATCTGGTATCAGAGTAGTCCAGACACTGAATGGAAGAGATGTCTCTGCTTGATTGCATTACATGATGTGTGCTTAGATATATAAAGAGCCTTTCAGCAATAAAGAGTGAGCTTTAGTTCAATATGAATGAACAAATGTCACAGACCACTAAAAATAATTATACGCCACAGCCCAATCAATGCTTTTACTATCAGTAGATTGTATAAAAGAAAACAAACAAATTTGCAGTTGCTGAATAGAAGCTTATTTGTTAAAGAAATGGGGGGGATATGAAAATGGCTTTGAAATCAAGAATTAATCAATAAATGTAGCTATATCATTCCTTTGACAGCAGTGATGTACTAACAGCTCCTCTGTTGTCTGTATTCACCAACAAAAGCAGAGCTCCCCCTTCTTCGTGGAGTCTGACCTTTATGACACAATAAATTATATAAATAGTATATAATTTATATAATTAAATATAAATAGTAAACTGAACTGAACCTCCTTAAAGCACATGAATCGCATGTTCTTCACTAAAACAGCCTGTGAATTAATTCTGTTTGCTTACATTTGTTATAATATGAAGTTAAGAATGCAAATTAATCATCTGTTTATTAATACAGCAGAGCCGAGTCACGCAGTAATGTATTACACAGCAGATCTCATTGATTTGAAACAGAGCATAAATGGTGCTTAAAAATTTTGCAGACTTGCGCCACACTGTGGTCATACTGAGTAACAGCTTCTCTTGCACTTGAGACGCGACTACAGGTGCATCTCAATAATGCCGAGTTCACACTGCACGATTTTAGCCCGATTTTTCACTCGCCGACAGGTTTTGCGAAATCGCCGACAAATGCCCGAAATCGGAGGCAAATCGGTGCTCGTTCACGCGAGTGACAATCACGCTGTGTGAATTATCAAAGACGCGATCTGAGGGAATCACCCACAGGTCGCAGACGCCTGATTTTTACTGGGGGACCCCCTCGAAAGCAATTGGGCTATTTTCAGGCTAGTTTTGAGTAGTAATTGGGCTGGTTTTGTAGCGAAAACCTGGCAACCCTGCACCAGACAGAGCTGTCGGCGATTCTTCCTATTGTGAAGTCATGCAGTGTGTAACCTCCTGTCGTCGTTCCATCGTGCAGTGTGAACACAGCAACAACTGAATGCTACCCCAGATAGTCGTTCAGTGTGAAACCAACAATGATGCGACGTCTTTGAAAATCGTGCAGTGTGAACTAGGCATTACACTACTTCAGTCTGTGTGTATTGAATTTATTTAATACACGAGTTTCACAATTTGAGTTGAATTACTGAAATAAATGAACTTTTCCACGCCATTCTAATTTATTGAGATGCACCTGTAGGCTATTGTTTTTTTTTTAACGATTGTACATTGCAAATGTGATTATAACTTAAATCTAGTGTATCAAAATGGAACTGGAGTTTTGGAATCGATAAAAAGTTTTGAATCAATGACTTCGACAGGGCTTTAGCCTAAAATCTTTGGATTTGTAAAAAAATATTATTCTAACTTCATTAACGCATTTTTCATAACGATAGCGCTAATCATGAGTCACGTTCGAAGATGTTTCAAAATACCGATTAAAAACTTGTAACAGACAGCATATTTATATAAAACGTTACACCGACGCCTCTTCTGTATCAGCTGTGAACGTTTGCTGCGTGACTATCCAGCGTCAATATTTAATATATGTATGCAACAACTGCAAAGCGTCCAGTGTGCAAACAATATGATAGACTACCTGCATCTCATAGCGAATTGCTGCCGCCTGGCGTTTTTCGCTTGATATTTGCACAAGTTTACAAGAAGTGCATGTAACTCCCGCACTATACTGTATATTCCAAGTGCTTTTTAAGTCCTAGGATAATTTTCGGTGCTCCTTTTTGGTCATTTTGAAGCTTGACACAGTCCTCGTTTACTTTCATTATTGGAAAAGAGTGACCAGGATATTCTCCAGAAATTGTATTTAGAATTTAGTCATGAAAGAAACAATGAGGGTGAGTAAATGATGACATCATTTTAATTTGTGGGTGAACTATTAGTTGTGCCATATGTTGTTATGTAGCTTGACAACCATAAACAGCTTGCAGGTAGACTAGCCTATATGCAGCTGTTCACAAGGGATGAGAGGGAAAATGTTGTTGCAAGTGTGAGAATTGTGGTGCGTTCATGCCATGTCAGAAATATGGAAGGGAAAAAAACGAGTCAACGATTTGAATCCGTTTGATAAATCGTTCACTGAATGAACTCACCGAATCATTCAGACCGGCTACTGAATCAACTCACTGAACTAATTCCATGGCATCACATCTTTAGCTTACTTCAGTAGGCATTAGGCTATATTTATGATTAACATTCCAAACAGAGGTTGTTAACATAAGAGTAAGGAGATGCATATTTATTTGATAGACTTTATTGATTATGTGCACATTTTAGCATAGTAATTTGACACCATTATTAAGCTACATTGAAGATCACATCAAAGTTGCATCTGTTTGTGTAATACTACACGATGTTTAACAATATTTCTAATTTTAATAGAATTTAAGACTATAATTATATATATTTGTAATTTACTTTTATATCTTTCGTTTATACAGTTGGCAGGCATGAACAGACAATAAAATTCACTGAGAATCAAACAGTCAAACCTATATAGAAATGATGACCCATTTGAATATATTTTCTTTAAAAGGAGATATTTCCTCTTAATATAAAAACAGAAAGTACACAAATGTAAAATATGCCAAAAAAAAAAACTTAAACCAAACTGTGGAGTACAAACCTCAGGCATGGGTTCCATAAGTTCTGCAAAATTCAAATAAATGACTTAAGTTTCATTTGCCTCCGAAACCTGATTGCATCAGTGATACAGTTAGTCATTAGACATTCATTAAAGCCATCATTTAACATACAGTACATATCTATCCTAATTGGTAAAAACATGACCACACAGAAAAGCACTGAAAGTTTGCCTGAGCCACAACAATATCATGGAGGACCATCTAGATAACCACATATGTGAACCAAGCTACTTACACTGAAGATGACTTTTAACAACTGCATTTGTCACAAAATGGGTCAAATAAAGAACACAGACTTGTTAGGTTTAGTTTACAGTGGAGATATTGCACAACCTAAATCACATCTGATTGAAGTTAAAATCCTGTCTTATGCAAGACCCACAATGATCACCTTTTGAGAATCAAATCAAATACAGGGCGTTTGCATCGTTTGTTGAGTTAAGATCTGTACAACACTTCTATTTGGTTTAGACAGTTTACGGTACAACATTACATTATACATATATATACACATTAACGCACCATTTGTCACAAAAGGATCACTGCGAATACACAACAGGCTGGTGAGCGGGAAAGCAAAGGAGGATTCGGGATTGGGTCGGGACTCCTGGAATGGCCTTGACTAAATATATTGCCTAAAACACACCAGTATTGGGATGTTTTATCCTCACTTGTGGAAGACACTGCCGGTTCAGCTCTAAACTCCTTGGGTATGGCGTTTCAGGGGTAGTTGGTTTAGGATCCACATTGTGTAACTGGGATCACACTGGGACATACTAAATGCGGTTTAGTCTAAAATCCAACATGTGAAAAGCATCTCCTCTAAAGATGATCTTTTTGTGAAGACATTTGCTGCTGATGGCATCCTTGGCTTTGTATTTTAGCTTTGCGTTTTCATAGGGCCCAAGTGTGACGAACAAGCAGCTCCAAACACCTACATACTCATCCAGGCATGCAAAATATACCTTCTCTTGATGCAACAAACCTTCCTGAGCTTTCACCCATCTCATATGTTCTCAAGTGTTACAGTATTAGTGTGCAAACATGTTTATGTAGCAAACAAATACATTCGACGGATACCTCCCTTTACTGGCTTTCGCAATCAATAACTCTATACAGTAATGGGTTGGAAGACCTGATCAGTGACGCTAGGTCATTGCGTCTTTCTCTTCAGGACGTCCCTGAGACATATGTGATTGCACAAAACCAATCTCTTTTTGTATGCCTATCAGGCTAAGGCATATTAAACACGTTGAAGTGTGTACAATTGTGAGTCTTGTCAGGAAAAGGGACGTCAGGGAAGCAGCGACAGCTTGCTCACGAAAATGAAACAACGTTTTCACTACAACTACCTTTTCTAGGTGCAAAGACACGACACAAAGCAAGACCACCCACATTGTGCGACTACGTTCTCCTTAAGTGACATGCAAGTAACGCAAGTGGCTAGCACTAACAGCTGCGGGGGTTAGTTTCGATGATGGAAGCTTGTGCTTAAATCCTAAAATCCTGCTCAAGCGTGTAAAATACGGAACAATAAAACATTTGGTTACATTACAATGTGGCGCACTGTTAAAATCATAAGATGGTGCCCCTTATCGTAACAGAACATGCTTCAGACAATTAGCAGACATACTTCAGATATCATATATCTGAGAGAGCGTGGCGGTGGATGATTTTACAACAAAATGTCCACCAAAACTTTTCATTTTCAAAAGCAATCTAGGATTATTAGTTAATAATAGGAGACTGGAATGAATAGGCAAAGCACGTGTGCTAAGTGTATGCAGGTCCAGTCACTGTGTAGGTAGTGTAAAAGGGTGCGTGCGAGTGTTTCTGTGTGTGGAATTTTATTTTCACACCTCCCTCCATCAGTTGGCCTCGAAAAACTGGGAATGTGTCTAAAGAATTCAGTTGTGTTAAAAGATTTAACTGCAATAATGCTGTGATATCTCACTTCATATTGCAGTCTTTAGCAGTGCAGGCAGTGTTTTATTTATGTTGCATTGCAAATTGATGTGCACAGATCTGAAGTGCACTGCAATGTGCTATATAATTGGTCCTTCCTGTGTATAATTGACAAGTGTCTGTGTTTGTATGATTTTTAGAAAGACTGCATAACCTCTCTGTCTGTGTATGTGTTTCTGTGTGTGTGTGTGTGTGTGTGTGTGTTTATTCCACAGAGAAGAGGCTTGCAAAGGATTTCCGAAGGTTGCGGATGGTCTCAGCCTTGGCTTCGTCCTGACTAGGATTTTGGTGCTGGGCGGCCGGCGTTTCTGGAATGTTGAATGTATTGGTAAGAGACTGGGATTTGCTACAGAGAGAAGAAGTGGCAATAAAGGAGAGGAAGAGGCTATTAAAGTCATGCAGCAAACCCATGGAGATGGCTTTATAAAGGTATGGCAGAGAAAAATAAATAAGCTGTGAGAGAAAGAGAGAGATTGAAATTCATATGCTTTCTTTTGTGTCATTTATTTAAGCAATCATGACTCAAGTGCAATGTTTACATCAGCCCTTGGACTTATGAGAAATGGCATCTCTGGATGTAGAGACATGCACTTTACTCTGCGCCATTGTTTATTCTGGGCCACTATTCCTAAATAAAGAACCAAGTGCAAAGGCACATCTCAGTAATATAAATAAATAGTATGTTTTTTCGGGGTTTTTGGTTTTTGGAAGAATCTGTGTTATATTGCATTAGTCACCTTAGAACTTTATTGAGGAATAGTGGGAATAAGATGAACACATTCATCGCTTCAATCATCGCTTGACAGTGAAAATAGATCAAATGCACATTTTTATTCAGAAAAATGCAATTTCCACAATCAAGTGCATGAATGGTTTGGGTGTAAGACTGAAGGAAGCCATCTTCAGCATGCAAAATACCAGATCATCTAGTGTGCATACTTCTGTATCTCCAGTGTTTTAATTAGGCATCTGCGTATGTATGAGCCACATTCATCATTATCACTATTATTAACAAATGTCATGTTCATTATTATCATCAACATTATCAAAATCTGTTTATGAATATTTAAAGGAATTTAAGTCATCATAGTATGCTTTGCAGAATCTGTTAAGGAGCTTTTGGATGTGTTTATCCATTCATTTCATGCTCATCTGTTGCATACTTGGTAGTAGCCAATACACTCATGGCTAAAATATGAAATATATACCAAAATTATTAGATTATAGATTTGGGGGGGGGGTGCTTTAGCTAAATAAATTTAAACATAGATGACTTCAGGCAATTTTCCATTAGGCTTTATCCAATTTTTTGAGCTTGCACCATTCCTATTTTGAAATAGGAAGATAATGTGATGACTGTGTGAATTAGGACAACACAGGGTTTCGTGTCATTGTAAGTGACTGGCAAGGCAAGAAATTACCAATCAGACCAGTAATTAGGTGGTTACAATCTAGTCTCTTATATAAAAAATTACATTACCGTGACATCACTGTGTAAAACATAGGTTTTCAGTTTACAGTAATCACACTCTTCATCAGACCTATCCCAATCCCACGTTGAAATCTACTCATGCAGCGCTTCCCATCCTGCAGTTGTCACTGTTCTTACTAAGACATTTAACTGCATAGTTTGGGCTGTTCATTTTCAAAATAAACATTTTAAAATACATTCTTTCATTATGTACTCTACTCTTCAAAAGTTTGGGGTCAGTAAGTTTTTAGTTGTTGTTGTTGTTAAAGAAAATAATACTTTTCATCAAGGATGCATTATATTGATCAAAAGTGAAAGTTAAGACATTTATAATTTTACAAAAGATTTCTGTTTCAAATACTGTACATGCATCATAATTGTCGATTATTCCCTTGAAATTGTAATTGCGATTATTAATTACGATTATCACAATTTACATTGAATGATGTTTATATCATTGTTTGAAGCAACTGCATGCCATATTTTTAGATGAAAATAAACAAGCTGAAAACACTAAATGAAAAACTTTTATTGATTTTCTATAGTATTAAGCCTCAAATGTAAACTATACATTGGATTGGTTTCTTCTTTAAATAAAAAAAGTAAAAATATGCATGGTATTATAATGTTATACTAAAACTTAAATTAAAACAATGGAAAAACCCTCAAGATAACCTGTAGAAGGAAAAAAACACATCTTAAGCACACAGAATAACATAAGTGGACTTTGAACGATTAATTGCCGCTTTGAACGATTACGTAATTGTGACATCCATATTTGTAATCACGATTAGAAATTAAATTAATTATGCAGCCCTACTTTATATCTCACAATTCTGACTTCATATCTCATAATTCTGACTTTATATCTCATAATTCTGACTTTGTCTCTCAATTCTGACTTTATACCTCATAATTCTGACTTTATATCTCTCAATTCTCACTTTGTATCTCACAATTCTGACTTTATATCTCA